ATTTCTTTGAACAAATGGCACGATGATGTGACACAATGGCATAAAATATCTCAAAGAAAGATTTATCATGTTCGTATATAGTTATTTATGCCTCAAGTGACTCGATAAAAACAGGACCCACAAATTCACCGATAATGGAGGCTGGCATAAAATTTCTCAAAGAAAGATTTATCATGTTCATATATAGTTATTTATGCCTCAAGTGACTCGGTAAAAACAGGACCCACAAATTCACCGATAATGGAGGCCATCTACTTTGTTTCAGAGCACCAATTGACTCTTTATTTTTATATAAATTGACTTGGCGTTGCCCTTTGACGTTTTGATCTATCTGATTTAATTGACCTTTTCCAACGGCCCGAGATTAAGAAAAAGTTAGGGCATTTACATACATACCACCCCATTCTTATATTTTTACATATCTAAAGTCTATACATGTATACCACCCAAATCTTTCATATCATGTAAAAAATATCACTATTTTAACTTAAAAAAATGTGAAAATTAAAGTTTTAGGTGTTAAACATGTAAACACATAGAATTAAGAATTGAGTGGTATGCATGTAAATCTTCAAAAACTTTTGATTTGATGACGGCTGGCCTCTTGGCGAAACCAGATTGAGGAGGAATTTAAAAAAATAGACAGGCCACTTAATTTCACATTAATTTAGTCTTGAATTGAGCTTCCCCACGTGTGTAATCGGACGGGCTGAATTGACTTGTTGGCCACCATTTTACTTCAAAATGCCCCCTTTTGATTACTTTTCTTCTCCCAAGTCCAAATCTGATTACCGAAGATTGCGTCATTTGCTGAAATATTAATCCACGAGTGTCTTATCTACCTTGTTTGTTTCATCACGGCACAAAAATAATAGAAATTTACACACTTGCCCCTAATTTTTTTCTATTTACATATTTGAAACCTCAACTTTAATTTTTATATTTTAATCATCCAAATCTTTCATACAATCATAGCAAATAAAAAATAATATCTCTAATTTAGTTTTAAAAAAGTGAAAATTATCTTTTGAAACATAAGTAAGATGTCATATATGTAAAAATTAAAATTTAGATGTTACATAAGAATTGAGTTGGATGCATGTAAAATGTTATTCTTCCTAAAATAAAATAAAAGGGGCATTTACAAAGCATAGCATGCAATTCTTATCAATTTACATCATTATCACTTCTTTACATCATTATCAATTCTTATAAAATGTTATTCTTCTTATCAATTCTTATGCAATTCTTAAGCTTTCATATTTACATCATTATCACTCAAATTTTTAAATTCACATCAAAGAAATCACTATTATTAATTTTTGAAAGTCAAATACATATAATTATGCATAATTTTTAAACATCAAAATGGTATAAAGGTAAATATAAATCTTAGGTGTTATATATGTAAATGCAAAAAAAATGTATGGTATATATGTAAAACTTGAATGGTCAGCAAACTATCAATATGAACTCCGATCCCTTGGGGACTAAAAGTAAAAATAATTTATTTTTTAGCTGCATGTTCTCCAGCGAGTTGATGTAGTAGCTGTAGCCATCCTTTAGTAACGCTTTCCTCATGAACTCCATATTATCTCAATGATTGACTTAATTTGCGGCGACTTTCATTGGTTTAATCCAAAAGATTGCTTTCATCTTTGGTCAGGAGTATAATAAATGGAGAGAATAAAATGGTAACTTTATTTCATTTCGAAGATGTGAACATATAGGCACTTATTTTGTCCTAATTAGTCAAATGAATGCTTTATATTATAATAATATCAGTTCTGTAAAAAAAATAGCTTCGAAGAATATGAGATCAGCAGACTTTGGGGTGGTACTACTTTTTTTAACCTTTCTTTCGATGTTTTGAACAGATAATCGCGAAAAATAACCTTGATTTGTTATAATTGACCAAGCAAAAAAATGCCTTTTTTTTCGTTTTAGATAATTAAATAAGTAGTTGTCTGGGTGATTAGGTTAACGCGTATATATATATATATATATATATAAGATCAAATTTCTGACTTGTTATCAGATTCATCCAAAATTATTTGAATTAAAATTATAAAAATTTCATTAGAAGTCAAATTTCATCAACTTTTTATAATTTTAGATCTAAACCCTCAACGGAGAAATCATCTAAGAAAGGCAACAGGAACCATTCATCAATAGTGCTTTAGAATTTTGAAGAGATGAATTCATCACAGCATTGGATTGTTATGAAATTCATGTTTTTTCAAGTACTATAAAATTTTGGGGCACTTAAATACATACCACACATACCACACAAGCACCACTATTTTAATTTTCAAAAATTGAAATAGGCAGATAAATTTAAGCTTTGAAATTTAGATGCTAGATATGTAATACATAAGAATTGTGTGGTATATATCTAAATCTTCCTTTTTTTTAAATGCTATAATTTTTTGAAAATAATTATTTTTATATCCGGTAATAAAAAAAGAAAATTTTATGGGAGCATTGCAGCCTATCTACTCTGAAAAGAGGATATTTAGGCCTTGTACGGCATATATTCATAGAAAAGAAATCCAAGAACACGGGAGATTCTAGTCAAACAAATTTTCATTCGTAGACACCAAATTGTCTAATAAAATTATATATGCTACTAGAGGCATAAGCCTTAAAGACTCAAAAATTTTGGAGCTCTTTGTGTCCGTCTTGAATTCAGTTTCTCGTTTTATTTTTTTTTTTAGCTTCTACCTCACAATATTTTTGATGTGTAAGAAGAGAAAAGCTTTGTGACCTGAAAGCATCTAGCATCACATTGCCAAATATCAGAATGTCGTCCGTAAAAAACAGAAAATTTGTGGCTCATGTTAAGGGGTGTAAATGAGTCGAACTCAAGCCACCCTCTACTTGAGTATGAGCTTGATTAATTTTATTGAGTTAGAGCTCGAGCTTAAGTCTAGTAGCTCAAGCCTGCTCGTGAGTCGACTTGTTTAATATAAAAGAGGAAAAATGATATTACTTTAAACTAGCTTTATAACAAGATGACAAATAGAATGAACAATTAGAAGATAAATAATAAGAAATCACATAATTTATAATACAAAATATTATTTTTTAAATATGTTTAATACTTATATTTTGAGCATAATTTATATTAATATTTTTTTTAAATTAGCCGACACACGAGCTAACAAGATAAGTTGGGGCTGCCTTGAGCTTGTCTTGTTAGCAGTTCACGAGCCACTTATCAAGCCGAGTTTGAGCCGGCTCATGAGTTAGCTTGACTCACTTACACCCCTACTCATGTTCAACTCATCTACTCAACAATGAAACCGTAACTCATGCTTAAGCTCATTTACATCAAGAATGAGCTTAGCATTAACAATTATCGAGTCAAACACAACTTATTCAATAGGAGGTTAAGTGGGGGATGGTAGACCCATTAGCCCTAAGCTCTAAACAAATATGTCCCCAACATCTAGGCTAAATTAGCTACCAATAACGGGCTGAGGAGAAGCCATTAGCCATCAATGTTATTTAAGCTCCTAATGAAGCTACCCATTAGCCGTCACCAAGCTCATTTGAGCAACCCATTTGACTTTACCACCCACTATCCGTGAAGATCAAACCTCAAACTCCACAAATGGAGTTTGATGTTGTGGAGTTTGAGGTTTGAAGTTCATTGAATATGTGCCTTTTGGGGTTTGAAGTAAAAGTGACATATTCAATGAATGATCATGCATTACAAGATTTACTATTCTTACCATGCTTTTGTGTCATTCTCTTATGTTAAATTTACCTCACAATTGGGGGTATAATAGGTTTCATTGTAATGAACAAACCTGTATTTTACTTCAATTCATTTATTTTTATCTAGTTCATGTTCTTTTCTTGTTCTTCAACATTTATATTTACTTTCTTATGTTTGTATCAGCATCCATCAAATCAACCTATTCAACATTATCTTTATTTTAATTGAATGGTTAGCATCTGCTTTAATTCTTGGTCTCTTAGTTGGAGAGAAGACTTTTCCCAACTCCTTTATAGACTTTGTACATGAAAATATATATATTCTCACGTTAAAGAAATGAATCTTAATAATGTTAGTTTTGATTTATCTACAGGGCATTGCATGAGAAAGAAGAACACCGCTTCTCCCGCGCCAAGTTCTTCGTAATCGCATTGATCTGCAGCTTTACTTGGTATGCAATCCCTGGTTACTTCTTCCCTACCCTGACTAGTATCTCTTGGGTCTGCTGGGCGTTCTCCCGGTCTGTCACTGCTCAGCAACTCGGTTCGGGCATGAGGGGCCTTGGCCTTGCGGCCGTTACACTTGACTGGTCTGCCGTCTCCTCTTTTCTTTTCAGTCCCCTTGTCTGCCCTTTCTTCGCCATTGCGAATGTCTTTGTGGGATATTTTTTTGTTGTCTACGTAACCATGCCAATCGCTTACTGGGGGCTGAACCTTTACAATGCCAAGACCTTTCCGATATTTTCTTCTCATCTCTTCACAAGAGAGGGGCAGCCCTACAACATTACTGCCATTGTGAATGATAAGTTTGAGATTGACATGAATGCTTATCAGGAGCAGGGAAGGATTAACTTGAGTATGTTTTTTGCATTGACCTATGGCTTTGGCTTTGCAACTATTGCTGCTACGCTTACGCATGTGGGCTTTTTCTATGGAAGGTATGCTTCTCTGCTCTTTTCTTATGGTTCTCCTCTCAGTTTTCTTCTTCGTGAACAATGCAGTGAACGGTGCAGTGATTTCTTGATCTTTTAGGTAATTAACTATACTTATTTGAACATTGCTGCATAAACCATCTCCTGAATGGTTATCGAAAAAATCAAACAGAGAGAACTAACTACTATTTATAACCGGATAAATATATTACTTCTTGCAAACAATGATTGATCAACCAAAGAAACCTCAAGATATGCTAGCGCTTACCACAAACAGCAACAATATAAAATTTTGGTAACTAATCTAGAATTTTTAGTCACAAGAACATCACCAAGATAAGCAATATTATGTGGTTTGAGTTCTGATGACCTTACATCCAAGAGGCAACTTCGGTCCCAAGTTCTTCATCAATCGGGCGAAGAATAAATATAATACCATTTTTCCCTAAACATATCAGAATATTATGATACTTTTTTTTTCCCCATATCATAGTGCTTTCAACTCTCAGCTTCTTACATGCTATAAAATGTGATTCCACATATAATAATTTCAGGGAGATATATGATCGTTACCGTGCATCATATAAAGAAAAGGAGGACATACATACAAGGCTAATGAAGAAGTATGAGGACATACCGGAATGGTGGTTTCACTTGTTACTGGTATTGACTGTTGCAATTTCTGTGTTCCTATGCACATTCTTAAAGGACCAAGTTCAACTTCCATGGTGGGGGCTCTTTTTTGCATGTGCCATGGCCTTCTTGTTTACTCTACCCATCAGCATCATTACCGCAACTACAAACCAGGTATTTGTTTAAAAAGTAGATTACATACATACCACTCAATTCTCATGGATTTACATATATGTCATCTTATCTATGCATAAAAGGGTGTATCCCAATTTATAAAAGCTAAAATAGTTGTATCTTTTATGTGATATTAAATATTTGGGCGGTATATAAATGTAAAAAGTAGAAGTTTAGGTGTTAGAAATGTAAATACATAGGAATTGGGTGATATGCATGTAAAAGCCCCTTGTTTAAATAACTCTAACCTTTTTTTTCAAGCAATTTTAGTTCTATTAGTTGAGTGGCTATGAGCTGAAATGAGTAAAGTGTCAAAATAGTCCCCCGATATTTTGTATAACCTATAATTAAAATGGACCACTAGTAGAAATCAGGGAAACATTTAGACACTCTTTTCGAGCTGAAACCCAACTTCACAAACTCTGTTTCCATTTTGCAGACTCCGGGGCTGAACATCATCACAGAATATGTAATGGGACTCATCCTACCTGGGAAGCCAATTGCAAACGTCTGCTTCAAAGTTTATGGATACATGAGCATGTCCCAAGCAGTCGCTTTCCTCTCAGATTTCAAGCTCGGTCATTACATGAAAATCCCTCCAAAATCCATGTTCCTTGTTCAGGTACTCATTCAGTTCAGAACTCTGCCACACACACACACACACACACACACAACAAAATACCCCGATCGACAAAACATGATTTTGAACTTATTTTTTACTCTGCAGTTTATTGGAACTATTGTTGCTGGAACAATCAACCTCGGCATCGCATGGTGGCTTCTGGGTTCAATCAAGAATATATGCCACGACGAGCTCCTGCCGCCAAACAGCCCCTGGACTTGCCCAGGCGACCGCGTGTTCTTCGACGCGTCGGTGATTTGGGGCTTGGTAGGCCCGAGGAGAATCTTTGGCTCACTCGGCAACTACGGCGCTTTGAATTGGTGCTTTCTGATTGGCGCCGTCGGTCCAATCATAGTCTGGCTCTTCCACAGAGCATACCCTAATCAATCATGGATCCCACTCATAAACCTTCCAGTTCTTCTCGGAGCTACAGCCAACATGCCTCCAGCCACTCCACTAAACTATAACTCCTGGGTCATTGTTGGAACAATCTTCAACTTCTTTGTGTTCAGGTACAGAAAGAAATGGTGGGTGAGATACAATTATATCCTGTCTGCAGCACTGGATGCAGGAGTTGCGTTCATGGGAGTTCTGCTTTACTTCAGCCTGAGCATGGAGAACTACAGCTTGGACTGGTGGGGAACTAGGGGAGAGCACTGTGATTTCGCAACTTGTCCGACGGCGAAAGGAGTGGTCGTCGATGGTTGCCCGACATATTAAACACTAGTATGTTTCAAATGCTTTCTCCTTCTTTAAAAAATGCCACTCATGCCAAATTTTTTGATTCAACAATCATAATTTTTTGGCTGAGAAGCATTTCTGTGTCCTGTATAAAAAGACTTTTAGTTTTATGTCCTTGTTAGAGTATTCTTGCCAGGTTCCTCTTCTATAGCTTAATAAAGAGGAACTGCATAATTGAATTTGGCATACTTAAAGTGTTCAAAAGAATGATAGATGCTGATTTGCTTTGCAGTTCAGATACATAAGCATTCTATGGTGCGTTAAAGATGAATGGAATGGAATGTAATAATCTCATTTATTTATACATTTTTAACAAATTTACATACATACCACACAATTCTTATGTATTTACGTATCTAACTCCTAAAGTTTGAGTTTTACTCTAATAAACTAGACTCATAATCATTATTATAAAGACTAACAAAAAACTTTTATTTATGGGCATTGGAGATGTTGGATGGCTCTCTAATAGGCAATCATTTTGATAATGAGGGCCCTATTATTATCACATCCTGGCACTAAAAAATTTTATTCTTGGAATGCTCTCCATTGGACTGATGATTTCAAAAGCTTCAAAATAATATAAAATATTTATCAATGTATGTATGGTTCCTACAACCTCCTTAAGCCACTAATTCATGCATTTCTTATGCTTAAATGCTCTCAAATAGAAAATTATTTTTATACTGAAACTGATGATATATCATCACTATTTACTTTTGATCCTAAAATTTTATCTCAGCAACTATATAGACTAACAAAAAAAGTTTTTATTTATGACCATTTGAAATATTGGATGGCTATTAAATGTACAAACATTTCAATATCAATGGGCATCCTATTATTATCATCTATAGGCAATCTTAAATTTTATTCATAAATATAGCTAAAATTATTTCTATCAACATAACATTAAAATTTTTTATATATTAATCCATTAGATTCCAAACATCAAAATCCTTACAATAGTTTATTATGTTTATTATTGAAACACATTCAGAAAATCTAGGTAGACCATTGAAATAAACATTTGGTAGGTATCTGTCGAAATGAACACATTATGTTAGATTTATGGCGGGATCATCTAGTATGCATGGGTTATGTGCATCCAATATAAAATTTAAATAAGTTCAATGTTTTTTATTGTCATATAAAGTTCCAATCATTTGTTTTTTTTCTAGTTTTTAGGTGGTGTTCGGTAGCATCCTGTTAATTGAATTTAGCTACAAAGATTTTAGGACAATCTTTTGAGTAAAAAACATTCAAACTTTGATGAAAAATCATTCAGAAATCTGATTTCAACAAACTTATAGTCAAATTCATTAGCTCGATAAAGACAGACCCATTAATACCAAAACTGGTCCAATCCAAGTTAAATCAAGCCCCAATCGAGACATTAAACATCTTCTAAAAGCTTTACAGATACATTGGGAATGTCAAACGGAAACTGAATTTGACAGGCTTATAGTCGAATCGAGCTTCTCGGCAAGATAAATCCAACGAGCCCAAGGTCATTTAATTCTAACATTGTTAAGACACTCAAATGTCTATCAAACGACATCTGATTCAGGGAAACCCTTTGAATAGTTCAATAAAAATGCTTATATTTCTGTATTAATTATACTTATAACTTTATAAATAAAGTCACACTCCTCTCGTGAAAGGGGAGAGAGCTTGAGGCCAGCGGAAGAACTTAAAGCTTTGAGAATGAGATGAAGTCTAACATCACTCTTGTCACTGTCAACGACCGTCGTCGATTGCTGTCAACTATTGTCGACCACCACATGCTGCCATTCGCTGATCGCTTTCGGCCGCCTTCTATTTCTTGTAACAAGTTTATCTACATATTGACATTGTAACTTGAGAGATCTTGTAACATTTTCTCATATGTGGCAAGTGATTGCATTTATAATTATCATTTTATAATGGATCTCTTCAACTGGGTCATATCCTGTGATTTTTTCATTTCCGAGTTTTTCACGTGAAAACTTAGGGTATTTCTTCTAGTTATTTTCTTTCGTCTAAGTGTGCGCTGAATTCGCGTGTAATGCTAAGAAGATAATCTATTACTCAATCATCGTGAATCTTCTAACACATATCAATCCTATTTAATTCTCTTTAACTTAAATTCATGTTACAACCAAATACCCCCAGAGTATCGTTCTTCAAGTTTGGAGCTTCTTTTTACTTCATAAAATCTATTTATAATTTTAAATTTAATTTTTCCTAGTATATGATTTTATTAATGCATGAGAGATCCACTTCACCTTTTAAAGATTACTATGCTCTATTTTGTGAATGGAGTCAAATAAATTCTGGGCCCGTTTGGGACAGCTTAAAACTGTGAGCCGCGTTTTCGATCGCTTATTTCCTTAAGTGCCTTTCTCCCTCGTTCGCAAGAGACAACCGCCATCCTCTGCACCGCTCAAGTCCCGCGATCGCATCATCCCTTCCTCGCCGCTGTATCATGACCTGACGCTTCTTCCTTCGCTCCCCTCATCTTTTCTCCATCGGCCTCATCATTGATGCCTCCTAGCACTTCCTCTTCATTAATCTCTACACCCCCAATGGCCAATCTCGCTAGTATCTCCATGATCACCTCCGCCGGAATCATTCCCCTTCTCTCACCTCCCTACACCATTGGAGATCAGCTGTAGAAGCATCATTCAGGGACGAGCTGTCGACCGCCTCTATGTTGATGTTAGCTTTAGCTGTTAAAGAAATATTTGATTTCTTCCTCACTAGAAGTTTTCTTTCCTTCTCACATACAAACTCATTGCCGATGTTCTTTACCCACAACTTTTCTTTCCATAGCTGTGAACGTTAATGAGAAAGGCTTTGAAAGATAAAAGGGTAAGATTACTTGAATTGATCCTCTATATACCTGTTTTCTTTTATCTCTGTTTGACCTCTTATGGGTTTTATCTTCACATTCTTGAGTTTGTATGTACCGTGGTTTGGTTTTAGGATATCTACTACCGGAAGGCAAAGGAGGAGGTTTGGGGAGTGTGCGGTGCATTCAAGCTCCTCCAGATTGATAATGAGTTCAATATCTTTGAAGGTTATTGTTTTTATCAAGTTTAATGTTAGTTTTAGATAAGTATTTTAATGTATGTAAAGTTTGTTTGATGCTGGTGACAACTTGTGATCCAATGACTGATGACAACGCTTGTTCTTGACAAATTTGTTTTGGTTTTCATGTTTTTTTTATGCTACATGAATCTGTGCTATGTGAAATGAAAAAGTTCACCGATAGCTGGTTTGAGTGTAGAATAAATGAGAATATTGAGTTAAAATTGTCACAAAGTTTGAAATGACGGTGTCAGAAAGTATTGTATTATAGAAACAATTGGATATTAAATATAAAGTAGAATGAGTAGAATTAAGTGATTTGGACATTTAAAAAGGCTAGAACAAACAAAAATGATGGATGTATGATATAAGCGTGAAAAAATGGGAAAGAAAATTGATAGTTCAATGCTAGCATAGCTTGAAAATAAAAAAGTATCATGTTGATTTTTGTCGTTGGACAGTTGAATTAGGGATGGTAGGCTTGATTTCAATAAATTTGGTTCGTCTTGGATTGTAAACTTGCTCGACAGTGGCTTATGGATTGTGAACTTGCTTGGTTTGGCTTGATTTCAACTAAGTTTTTATTACTATACAAGTATGTTGTCTCTGTTGGTCTTTCAATTCAAATTAACAGTTCATAACCTTTGAGTGTTATCTGATATGTTGTTTACGCACCCATTGTATCCTTACTGTAAATGGATTGGGTGGCATTACGTATTCAAGCTTTGATGCAAATGTCTTTCCTGTGTCTACTTTGGTGGGTGTTTTGGTTCGTTTGATATTGCATGTAAGTGATATTTGAGTCTCTATTGCAATGTGTAAGCAAAAGAAAAAATCTATTTGAAGTGATTTAAAATATTTTAGTGATATAAATGTAACTCAACTCTTCTGTATTTTCATGTCTTAACATTTGAACTTTACAAACTTGTCGCATTCCATATAAATCAATGTTATGTTGGAATTTTTGAGTGGTAAGTATGTGTCGAATGAGTCCGAAGAAGGTTAATTGGTTCTAAAATATCTAACACGTATACATTGTCGTTTTGTTGAGAAAAATATCTTCTGCATGACAGATTGTTTATTTAACTAAGAAAATCTGGAAATCAACTGTTACAAAACACACAAACCAAACAGCTAAACAACTTATCCAAAACAGGAGCAGAATGTTCATTTATCCAGAATCAACTGTTTTTCAAACACACAAACCAAACAATCAACCAGTTTATTCAGATCAGCTGCTCATCAGCAGTAGCAGATTATCAGGATAAGCTGCTTATTAACATAAGCTGGATAAACTGCAACTGGCCCAAAGAGACCCTTTATCTAACATGATAAACTAAGGGTCTGTTTGGCGCAGCTGTAGCTTCTCAGCTTTTCAGCTGCAGCTGCACTGCCCTAGAAAGTTGCTGCGGGGAAGCAGCTGCCGGGAAGTTGGCTGTCTGTTTGGTGCAGCTGTGTGAAAACAGCTGTGGGGCAGCTGTTTCTGAAAAAATGACCAAGCTGCCCCTGTTTGGTAAAACTGTTTAAAAAATGTATGTATATATGTAAAAAATTTAAATATGTAATTGCGAATCGTAAAATTGAACTTTGTGTTATACATGTGAATACCTAAGAATTGTGTGGTATGCATGTAAATTTCCCTTTCTTATACATTTTTAACAAATTTACATACATACCACACAATTCTTATGTATTTACGTATCTAACTCCTAAAGTTTGAGTTTTACTCTAATAAACTAGACTCATAATCATTATTATAAAGACTAACAAAAAACTTTTATTTATGGGCATTGGAGATGTTGGATGGCTCTCTAATAGGCAATCATTTTGATAATGAGGGCCCTATTATTATCACATCCTGGCACTAAAAAATTTTATTCTTGGAATGCTCTCCATTGGACTGATGATTTCAAAAGCTTCAAAATAATATAAAATATTTATCAATGTATGTATGGTTCCTACAACCTCCTTAAGCCACTAATTCATGCATTTCTTATGCTTAAATGCTCTCAAATAGAAAATTATTTTTATACTGAAACTGATGATATATCATCACTATTTACTTTTGATCCTAAAATTTTATCTCAGCAACTATATAGACTAACAAAAAAAGTTTTTATTTATGACCATTTGAAATATTGGATGGCTATTAAATGTACAAACATTTCAATATCAATGGGCATCCTATTATTATCATCTATAGGCAATCTTAAATTTTATTCATAAATA